CTTATAGAAAGGACAGGACTGGTTGCTCAGGGGGCTACTACCTTTGGGGCTGCCCGTACGTTACCAGAATGGCATAAAGAGGCCTGCCTGTGCTGGTGCATCAGGCCCAATGTTCTGTACAAATCCATGCAGCCGGCTGTAATCAGAATGTGGGAAGGGCAGAGCGGGTATCCCAGCGTTGTTGCATTGTGCACGGGGAGGAACACAGGCAGCGTGCTCACCTGGGGTGTGGGTGAGCCACAAAGGTTGAGTCAGGATGCTCTGAGCTGCTGTTAGATTCTTCCCCGTTCCCCCCTGTGGAGAACCGGCAGGGCTGGGCTGCAGTGAATATAAAGGGGATTCTTGATTGAGAGCTTCCTGCCTCCTTTTATCCCCATGCTGCCACCAGTAGAGGCCTACGCAGAGGACATGATTCCCCTGCCCAAGACCAAGAGGTAGGGCCTACAAGTAAAATCAGCAGGTGGGGCGTCCTGGGTGGATGGTGACTATCATCACAAGTTTAGGAAAGCCCAGCTATGGAGGACGGAGCCAGGTTTTAGCCTGACTCCTGCATCGTCGATCCCATTATTTACTTGGTGCCAGTTGCAACCCCCCCACCCCCTGATCTAGGAACTGGAAGGAGCCCCCGGAGGTCCTAGGTGGGTGTACAGCCCGGAAAACATGCGCCGGTTGGATGACACAGAGGCATGCTGTGCACTGAAGACAACAGAGCGACTCAGAGCAGAATTGTTCGCCAGTGAAGGGTTTTGTTACCGGGCGTGATTCACAATTTGAAACAAGCCCCGTTGGATTCCCAGAGCCCAGGAGGAATTTGCAGTTCGTGGGGGAACATCTTTGCCCCGAGAATGTTTCTTGTTCAGCTGAAATGAGGGGGAAACATCATCTTTGGATCTTTTTGCACAGCAGCTTTGTCAATCAAGCCAGAGCCCCAATCAATACCGATCTGGCACTGCCCCTGTTTTCACGCCGGGTCACTCCCCGGAGCAGAACAGCGCTGGTTTGCCCCCCTGGGTTGGCCACAGCTGGCACCTCACCACTGTGACAGGGGTCTCACTAAAGTGCATTACATCGGCCACATCCAGAGAGCGGGGGAAGGTGGCCGGGGGAGGGGAACGTCACAGAGCCACTGCCTCCGCTATCATGCCCCCCGGGCCCCGTCACTAGTTCTGCAGGGAGGACGGCCGCTCCCGTCCCACGCCAGGTGGCAGCCCGACACGAGAGAGCACTTGGAGAGACGAGCCATGCAAAAAAATAGACATCTAGAAATATAGCTCTCGACACACGCACGCCCACGCGGAGACGCCTTGCAAAAATCTTTGGTATCCTTTGGTGCAAGAGACAAAGTGAGGTAGAAATTCGCCGCCGTTTGACACAACAATAGAGTCGCACGACACATAACCCGGGGGACGAGTTGGGGCGGGGACTGGAGCGGAAGCCAGCCGCGGCTGAGGTGTTCATGCTGAATTTGGGGCAGAGCTTTCTAGGTCAGAGCCTTCCTTCGGTGCAACAGACTCCCCGGGTGACCCCGGGGGTGGATTTCTCAGGGCCCTAGCTTAGAAGATGGATGTGGCAGAGTCTTACCTGGCTAATGAGCATCCCTCTGGAGAGGGGGGGGCGGCTCTGGGCTGTACGAGCGCCCCCCGGGCTCTGCCCCCCGCGGGCAGATGGAGGAGACCCTACGGCCTCGCCACGTGGCGATCGATCTGTGACCGTGGCCGTCTCAGCTTGAGATCCGCCCCGCTCCACAGAAACCGAGCCCCGGCAGCGCCGCGCAGGAGGGCTCCGTGGAGCTAATTAAGGGCAGGCTGCTTCTCGCAGGCTTGTTTCAGCCCCAGCGCTGCCACCCTTTTACAAAGCCCTGGGATCCGCGCTGCGCTTTTTAAACCAGCTGGCTGACACCGGGGCACCTTTGTGTGTGGACGCTCTGGCGTGGCTATCCCGCAGGGGTGGGGAACCTGTCTTGGGTCCGGGACCACTGACCCGTGTTCCCGCTACGTTTTCCTGTCCATGGGCGGGATACATTTTGCCACGTGCGCCAAGGCATGTGCAGATGTGCACCACCAATAGAAGCACATGCTGCTGGCTGTGATCAGCTGTGGGTGCTCTGCCAATGAGCTGGGCACAAGCGCCCAGCTTACAGGGAACCCTGCCCCGACCCACAGAAAAATCAGTCGGGGGCCACACACAAGTGAGAAGCAACAACACCAAAAATCCAACCCCGAAACAAAGCCTCACGGACGTGGCCCCCAGCTGAGGAGAGAGACTCTCCCCATATTCCCCTTGCACACCCGAGCCGAGGGGCTGGTAGATTTTGGGTGCTCCCGTCCTGTAGGGGGATGGTGGAGGAGCTGGAGCGCCAGCGTGGGCTCCCCAATGCTGGGGGGAGCCCTGAGCCTTGGGGGCCGGATCCAGGCAAGCCCGGGGCCACATCCGGCCCCCAGGCCTTAGGTTCCCCACCCTGCTCTTGCGGGTTAGTTTGCCCAATGTGCCCCCTAACCCAAGTTTCACTGGACAGAATGTGTCCACCCAGCAGCCTAGGTACACGCGTGTGTGTGCACGGACAAGCCCTGAATCCCATCTGTGCCTTGCACAAGCAGGCAGCGCTCCTGCCCACCAAGCCTGGGGGCCCAGGGAAATCTGCACCGGCTGCCACCCCCTCATACAGCTATCTAGCCGGGGCAACACGGGGCTCGCACCCACGGATCGGCTGCAGCGATGCCGGTTCCAGCCACGGTTACGAGCCCCCGGCGGGTCTTGGACCGCTTCCAGGGAGCGTGGCTTTTGACGGCCCCAGGTGCTCTCCCGGCCAGGGGATCGTGCTCTTTTCAGAGAGGCTTTGCGAGAGATGGCTTGTCCACAGACGCCACGGTGACGGGCACCTTACGAAGCCGTGGGCAGGCGTCGACGCTGCTAGCGGCTGCTCCCCGACTCTCCTTGAGCTTTGCCGAACACAGAACCAGAGGCTCCTGGGCCGGACGCTTCCTGCCTATTCAAACCCCAGCTGCGAGTCCCAGATGGCCGCCTCCGACGCGGTCGCACCCACATTACCGTCCACTCTGCAGTCTGAGACCCAGGCGGGATGAGTTTGAGGGGCCTCTGCCCTCGCTCCACACCTGCCATCCCCGGCCTTGCCCAGGGGCCGGGCCAGCCTGGCAGGGAGCAGAAAGATCGGGGGGACCATGGGAAGTACCTGGCAGGGCGGGGTGGTGCCAGCGTCCCCCCCGCTACTGCCCACGCTCTGGGCACAGCCTGCCCCGGGGAACCGACAGGGAGCTGAGCTGCGGAGCCCTTTGGGACGGCGGCTGCTAAGAGCTCCGCTCCGCTGTCCCCTTTTTATCCCCCTTCAAACCTGCCCAGGTCCCTCTGCCTGCACCCTGGGGTGCTGCTCCCAACGGAGGGCTCGGAGCTGGCTCTCTGGTCTGTCCGTGTGCCTCCCAGCCGTAGCGGGACACTCGGGCCGGGAGCTCGCGGGGCAGGGAGGAGGGGGCGTCCTTAACGCACCCTCCCTTGGCAGGGCTGGGGGAATATTCCAGGCTCCTCGCCATGGGAGCCTCCATCCCGGCCCAGTCCTAACAGCGCCCCACAAGCCCAGAGCCCCCCTTGGCACCCATGGGTGCTGCAGCTCAGCTCCTCGCAGGCTCTGGACCTAGGGTTGCTGGGGAGCTTTCAGGATGGGTTTGGTTTCTCCGCATGCCCAGGCCTCTCCAGTGCACCAGTCCGCTCTAGGCCAGGACCCTCCTACGGGCCCAGAAGCCCCCTTGGGGGCACCCCTGGAAGTGTCATGGGATGGAAGAAATTAAAGGATCTTCTAAGCATCCCGGCCACGAGGAGGCTCCCCGCCTCGGTTTCCCCATCACTCCGCACCCCTGCGGTCACAGCCGCAGTGCAAAGCCAGCGTGGGCGAGCGCTGTTCCGAGCCGGTCGTGCGCCACGAGCGCAGCAGCACAAGAGTGTTTCACGCTCACTTTGCACGGCGCCCCGGTGGCAGAAGCGGGACGCGTGCTTTCAAAGCCCGGATCCTGGAAGGCAACCTGGTGCCTAACTCCCCTTGGAAAACCAAGGGGAGTTAGGTGCCTACCCGCCTGTGAGGCTCTGGGCCTCAGCTCACAGAGCCTAGCTGGCGGTTGGCTGATGCTGCGGGCTGCCCATATGGGAGGGGACCTCTGGGAGCAGCGCACTGGGCTGCCAGCCATCCCCCATGCACAAGGGAGCAGAGAAGCTCTACAGCCCCCCCAAGGCTCAGCACCACGCCCTGGGTCCCCCAGCCCCTGACCCAGCCCAGCGGGCGGCCTCCGAGCACGGCAGGGCACTGAGTGGGCTGCACCCGTGCACACAGCGGCGCAAGGTGCTGGGCACCCGGCTCCCGGAGAATCAGGCCCACAGTCTGGAGACTCAGGCCCGAAGAAGGGGCAGGTTTGTGCACACAGCA